TTTTAAGTGAAGTAAATCGAATAGCTGGAGACACGATAATCATCTAGTTCTACCTTTTATTATATTCAAGAATGTGGTACACGGTTTTTAAACACACACACACTAAACAAAACAAAAACAAACAAAAAAATAATAAACAAACCAATAAAATAAAGCACAAAACTGAATAAATTCAACTGAAATGAGAAAAGTTTCTTCCAAAACATTGCGTCTGTTTCATGGCCAAGAAACTATTCGTATTTCAGTTGAAACCAATAAAATCACTACATCTGCACAACAGGATCGGCGGTAGTGCTCTTTCTACATAGTGTGCAGCTCTTTATCTCATACTTGTGGATATGTTACCAACAACCAGACGATGCTTTACTCGAACTTTGAAGCGCACGGTTCCACTCAAGGATTTTCTCCCTCTCCTCCTTTATAAATTAGGGAATGACTATTTACGTTGTAAGGATTATTTAATGTACAGTTATAAAGTAAGTATTAAAGAGAGAAAAAGAGACTCATTATATTAAATAATTACAGTTAATGTTGAGTGGAAATAGCGGGTGCTGCCGTTATATAGAGCCTAAATACGAGCCGCCACTGACAAACACTGGTTTTAGCGTAACTGTTATTAAACAATCAATATCAATCATAAGGCATTCCTCAAGGGGTTTGGATACACGTTGATGAAGCAGTTCTCCATGTAAGCTATGAAGCGTTCCAGATTTGACAGCTCTTTACGATTTGTTATGTCAGTTACATACTGCTTTTCGATTGCACTTAACCTGTTTACGAGTGAGTTGTGTGTTAGTTATTATCTTCCTCTGTAATATAAAGGTATATTCTGGATTCAGCAGTGCCCTCGTAGCCTTTGTAGTAGCTTGTGACATTCATCGTCAGCTTGAGCACGACATCTTGTGGACCTTCGATACGTTTGACCAACGTGACTCTAGCGAAGTCCCGGCTTTTCTCCAGTGAGAAGTCTTGCATCTCTGCAGGCGGCACTCCAGTCCTCAACGGTCTAGTAGAGATCAGGTCAAGGTCCCAGGTGTAATATTTGTCGACCAATCTGCTTCCGGTCATCGAGAAGAGCGGCGCTGGGACCTGGACGTTGGAAGCAAACGACAGGAAATTGTATGTCCGGGAGATGATGCCTCTGCGACACTCTTGGCAGTCAGTGGACATCCGCTTGCAGCGTATGCTGTCACAGTGGTTGGGGAATAGAATCACATGTGAGACGTGCATGAACAGAACATGATGCATACAGCTGGTTAGAAATTAAACAACATTACAAACAATCTTTTAAATGCTCGTTGTAAACATTACAAGGCAGTCACGTATGCTGTTAAAAAAATGTAAATAATCAGTTAATATAAGAAATCAAGCAATCAATTATTGTAGGTAAAGTTATGCATGCTAATTTAAATTATCTACTGATGACTGGTGGAAAGCGATGCTATTTACAAATTTCTGATTTGTTTTTATCTAACACAGAACATCATAGACAGAGAAAGAGAGAGACGAAAAGACAGGGAAGGGCAGGAGAGAAAGGGAAGATAGACTGACGGGAATGGCATACAAAATGCTGATAGAGAGATATCAAGAGAGTGAGAGTGTTTTTGTGGGGGGAGGGGGGGGGGGCTTAGAGAGTGAGAATATACACACACATTTATGTTGTGGGGGGGGGGGGGGGAGAGAGACAGACAGATAAACAGAGAATATATATTTCGATATTTGTGGTGTTAAAAAGGGAAAGACGAGTTGGTAAAACACAGTTCCATAAGATCTTCTTCTTCTTCTTCTTCTTCTTTTCTTCCACCTTGTACCTCATCGAAGTGTCGGAGGCAGATATAACGTTCGTTGATGAGCTCTGTCAAGAGCACTATTAAGACTGATGTTCATTTCTGTAAGACTGTTCTTAATGAAATCACTCCATCTTTTCCGAGGTTTTCCACTCACTCTATATAAATCGTCAAAGGCAAGTAAGTGAGCTCTCTCCCCCCCCCCCCCCCCTCCCCCCCCCCCCCCACCCCAACCTTCTCTCCCTCCTTCACCTCACCTTTTAGACAAATGTTTTTTGGAGTCGAATCACACACAAACCGACGGATGGCTAGTGAGTAAGTATAGCTACAATCATTCCAAGTGAGTCATGATTGTAACTGCTGTAGAAAGGGACAGCTTCAGTAACAGAAATAGGCTTAAGTAGTGGTAGCACTCACACACAAAAACGCGCCCTGTCTGACTGTCAAATTAAAGTCAATTGTTTTGAGAAAGTACAGAAGTTTAAAAGTGTCTAGTCACTAGTATGGCATCAAATGGAATATATATCACAGAGGTAGAAGAGTAAAATAGGACAAGTAACAACTGCATTTTATAAAACAATGCACATTGTATGCAATAAGCATCTTTTTTTTTTTTTTTAAACGGGTGAAAGTATGCTACACGGAACCAGTTTTAATACACAGGTGTGACTCCTGAACAATAAGTAAAAAAGCGACACACACCTTGAGATCTAGGAGATGTGGTTGACTGAAGAATGCTTTAAAATGTATTAGACAGGAAATACGAGCATCTCAGATGTTTCTAAAGTGGCTAAAGGCAGTTTGACATAAACTTCCGAAAGATGTAATCATTTTTTTTTGGGGGGGGGGGGGGGGGGGGGCACGTTATGGGAAGAGAATTACTGGACAGGGCTGCTCAAGTTGGTACTTTAGTTTAAATTTGGTACTATTTGGCCCTTAACGAGCCAAACTGTACATTTGGTACTATACAAGATGTTGTGATACTTTTTGGAAAGTTGGCGTTAGAATTTTAAATGTTAGCATTGTACGCTGGATTTAATACGTGTTGTTGCTGAAGGAAGACTGACTTCATTTATGCAACTGGTCGTGTAATTTTCTAGCATTGTTAGAGAAGAAAATTATAAAAATAAAAAATTAGAAAGAATGGAGGGAACTAATAGTGCAATATCAACCATCTAATGCTGAAAAGATACCAGCAAAATCATTTCAGAAGAAAATGTAGAGATGAAAATCGCTTTCCATTCGTATCAAAATTAATGCTTAGTCTTTTAGCATTATCTCATTCCTCTGCAGCTATAAAAGAAGTTTGCTGTCTGCTAAACAATATTAAGATAACTTTTTTTTTTTCAAATCACTTTTCTTTGAAGACCTAAACAATAACTGCATTTATGAGATCAAAGTTCTTGCCCCAGGACAAACACTGTACCAACTGGAAACCGTGACAACAGCTTTGTTACAAACTGAGCAAAAAAATGCATACAGTAATGATGTAATGGATAAAGAATTTCAATTATGATCAAATATAAGATAAGCCCGCTTTAACATATATGTATGTGTCTTTATAGACATTTTAATGGGCAAACAATTTTTTTTCTAATATTATTATTAAAAATTAAAAATGTTGTACCTTTTGGCGTGTTTTGGTACCTTATCCACACACGCACACAAATTAGTACTATTCCTAAAATAATTTCGGAAGCCCTGCTACCAGAACGTGCTGTGTCAAGTGGAAAGATTTATGGAAATACGACTTAGAGGAAGATAACGAGAAAAGATTTCTGGCAGCCTTTCACGGAGAGAGGGATATCAGCATAATAACCGATACATGCTGCTGGTTGTTGATAGACGGGGAGAAACATGATCGCCCACCTCACTTGGTTCTGATGATGAATGGTAAATTACGAGAACCATATTGAAGTTAGTTGCGTATCCTTTACAGGACGTTGCAGAACCAACCCCAGCATTTGTTGGCTGTTGTGATTTTTCTACGCAAATTTTACATTCAGTATTTTGCCGTTGCTCTCGGTACCACTGACGAAACCAAAGCAAGACAAACTGTCCGCAGCTGGAATCGAACCCGGCATGCCGGCATTTTCATAAGCAGAATAAAAACATAAAGTATTCAATTACTCTAACTGCAAAGCCATGCGCGATTAAAACAGTTAAACATGCTAGATCAACTAATGTTACATCTTCCTCCGACACTTCGATGAGGTACAAGGTGGAAGAGAAGAAGAAGAAGACGACGACGACGACGAAGAAGAAGAAGAAGAAGAAGAAGAAGAAGAAGAAGAAGAAGAAGAAGAAGAAGAAGAAGAAGAAGAAGAAGAAGAAGAAGAAGAAGAAGAAGAAACATGCTACAGTTGTTAAAATACCACCAAGTACAAGGATTATACAAAAAATAGTACTAAAAAAACGCAAAGGTAAAATGAATGGACACAAGTGAAAAATTTGTTGTAATCGCTCATGGTATTCTTTTGTAATCGCTCATGAGAGTTTGTTGTAATTGCTCATGGAATTCTTCTGTAATCGCTCATGAGAGTTTGTTATAATTGCTCATGAGAGTGTTGTAATCTCTCAACCGATGCTTTTGTAATCGCTCATGAGAGTTTGTTTTAATCGCTCATGGAGTTTGTTGTAATCGCTCATAGGATTTTGTTGTAATCGCTCATGGGATTTTGTTGTAATCGCTCATGTGAGTTTGTTGTAAAAGCATAATCATGACATGTAAAGTAAGAATAGTGCACTGATCAACGCGCACAGGTTGCATTCCGAACATAAAGAAATAACCGACGACTGTTGAATGACACCGGTAAATTATTGTAAATATGCACTAGTAAAACAGATGTGTGTTGCATCGATCCCTTGCTATTTTGTAAATTATACTGATAACGTTTATGAATTCCCCGTATGAGCTCCTAGGCTCCATATTGGAAGAATAAATCACATACTCACTGTGCAGCTAACAAGCATGTCGTAAAAGGCGACTATTTAGTAGGGATCTTTTCTTCCAAGTCGCATTGCATCTGCCTGAGAGGCGATGAACCAAGAGTCTGTATACAAATAAGCCACTTCTGTAAAATGGTTATTTATGCACGCAAAACTTAAGTTCTGGAACAAGACGAAGATTCAGACGTGGACGAACAACCAGAACTTTCAGCCTATAAGCGCTAAGGAGCAGAAGAAGAAGAAGAGAAATTGCAAAGCTCTCACCTGTTCTGTTGGCCAGTTGCATTGTTTTTTACAAACCCATCGGGACATCTGACAATAGGACACTTGTAACTGCCGCGTGTGTTGATGCAGATGCTCTCAGAATGTTGGCAAACAGCGGTGTGTTCTTTACATTCATTAATATCTGAAGAATAAATACAGTACATAATAATAAGGAGTATTTGTTAAGACATCTCACATTTTTTTTTTCGAATGTTTTAAATCATCTTCTTCGTCTCTGGCCATGTTCTGCCTTTCAATGTGAGTAACGAAGCCAGAAAAGAAAATATACTATTATGGACTGGAGAGAATGATGCACCTGGGTGGAACCAGAGTGTTCGGCCGGCACACTACTTTCAGAGGAAAGGCAAGACGGACATACAATCATTCTACGACTGGCACCGTTGGTACTGGAAATCTGCGCTGGCTGCTGAGGATGGGGACGGAGTGCGTATGGGAATGCCCCGAGTGCTGTGATGCTAATTCTTAACTCAACTCAGCTTAGCTCAACTCAGCGTCAGGTTTTGAAAGCGTTTCGACTGGTGTGTACTACGAAGATGCTGTTATATGCAGCCGAGGATAATCCATGACTTGCATGGTCGACCTCTGTCTCTGCTTCCATTATGTCTAAGCATCAAGGCTCTCTGTGGTGCACTGTCTGGTGGTAGTCTTGACACACGTCCAAACCATTTGATCTGTTGTCTCTTGATGTAGTTTAATACTGGTTCCGTTGCAACTTCTTTCCTGATATCGTCATTTCTGATCCTGTCTTTCTAATTATATTTAGGATGCGTCATAGACATTTCATTTATTGTTTTATTAAAGTAAGTAAAAGTAAAGGTCTCTTTTCCAGGCCTTTAGATGTATTGGGAGTATAGGGAAAGACCGCTACTTTTATAGACCAATTGGCACTTGGTGGATGATGTGGTCAGCATCACGCCCGCCCGCCTTTAGTCAAGGTCATTTCTGGAAGAAAAAAAAAGTTTATCTCCGTCAGGACGCCAACCCACGACCTTCAGATCCGCAGGCGGGCGTCTAGCCGCCAACGCCACGTCGACTCCCTATTGTTTTGTTATTGAAGCTATAAAATGGGGTCTAAAAGTTAAATAGCTAATTTACCTTCACAGGATCTGCCATCTGGTTTCAGTCTCCATCCGTCTGGACATTCACATCTGTAGGAGCCAGGCAAATTAATGCATTTTCCCCCACAAACGCCACTACGACCAGCACGATTCCCAAACTGAGTGCACTCATCAATATCTGAGGAGATCAAGTTATTGTGCACTCATCAATATCTGTGAAGATCATGGTACCCCTGAGGAGATCAAGTTGTTGGTGCACTTATCAATATCTGAGGAGATCAAGTTATTGGTGCACTTATCAATATCTGAGGAGATCAAGTTATTTGTGCTCTCACAATATCTGAGGAGATCAAGTTATTTGTGCTCTCACAATATCTGAGATCAAGTTATTGGTGCACTCATCAATATCTAAGGAGATCAAGTTATTGTGCACTCATCAATATCTGTGGAGATCATGGTACCCCTGAGGAGATCAAGTTATTGGTGCACTTATCAATATCTGAGGAGATCAAGTTATTGGTGCATTTATCAATATCTGAGGAGATCAAGTTATTTGTGCTCTCACAATATCTGAGATCAAGTTATTGGTGCTCTCATCAATATCTGTGGAGATCAAGTTATTGGTGCACCCATCAATATCTGTGGAGATTATGGTACCCATGAGGAGATCAAGTTATTGGTGCACTTATCAATATCTGAGGAGATCAAGTTATTTTTGCACTTATCAATATCTGAGGAGATCAAGTTATTTGTGCTCTCACAATATCTGAGATCAAGTTATTGGTGCACTTATCAATATCTGTGGAGATCAAGTTATTGGTGCACTTATCAATATCTGAGGAGATCAAGTTATTTGTGCTCTCACAATATCTGAGATCAAGTTATTGGTGCACTCATCAATATCTGTCGAGATCAAGTTATTGTTGCACTCATCAATATCTGTGGAGATCAAGTTATTGGTGCACTTATCTATATCTGTGGAGATCAAGTTATTGGTGCACTCACCAATATCCGTGGAGATCATGGTACCCCTGAGGAGATCAAGTTATTGGTGCACTTATCAATATCTGAGGAGATCAAGTTATTGGTGCACTTATCAATATCTGTGGAGATCAAGTTATTTGTGCTCTCACAATATCTGAGATCAAGTTATTGGTGAACTTATCAATATCTGAGGAGATCAAGTTATTGGTGCACTTATCAATATCTGAGGAGATCAAGTTATTGGTGCACTTATCAATATCTGAGGAGATCAAGTTATTTGTGCTCTCACAATATCTGAGATCAAGTTATTGGTGAACTTATCAATATCTGTGGAGATCAAGTTATTGGTGCACTTATCAATATCTGAGGAGATCAAGTTATTTGTGCTCTCACAATATCTGAGATCAAGTTATTGGTGCACTCATCAATATCTGTGGAGATCAAGTTATTGGTGCACTCATCAATATCTGTGGAGATCAAGTTATTGGTGCACTCACCAATATCTGTGGAGATCATGGTACCCCTGAGGAGATCAAGTTATTGGTGCACTTATCAATATCTGAGGAGATCAAGTTATTGGTGCACTTATCAGTATCTGAGGAGATCAAGTTATTTGTGCTCTCACAATATCTGAGATCAAGTTATTGGTGAACTTATCAATATCTGTGGAGATCAAGTTATTGGTGAACTTATCAATATCTGTGGAGATCAAGTTATTGGTGCACTTATCAATATCTGAGGAGATCAAGTTATTTGTGCTCTCACAATATCTGAGATCAAGTTATTGGTGAACTTATCAATATCTGTGGAGATCAAGTTATTGGTGCACTTATCAATATCTGAGGAGATCAAGTTATTTGTGCTCTCACAATATCTGAGATCAAGTTATTGGTGCACTCATCAATATCTGTCGAGATCAAGTTATTGTTGCACTCATCAATATCTGTGGAGATCAAGTTATTGGTGCACTTATCAATATCTGTGGAGATCAAGTTATTGGTGCACTCATCAATATCTGTGGAGATCAAGTTATTGGTGCACTTATCAATAACTGAGGAGATCAAGTTATTTGTGCTCTCACAATATCTGAGATCAAGTTATTGGTGAACTTATCAATATCTGTGGAGATCAAGTTATTGGTGCACTTATCAATATCTGAGGAGATCAAGTTATTTGTGCTCTCACAATATCTGAGATCAAGTTATTGGTGCACTCATCAATATCTGTGGAGATCAAGTTATTGGTGCACTCACCAATATCTGTGGAGATCATGGTACCCCTGAGGAGATCAAGTTATTGGTGCACTTATCAATATCTGAGGAGATCAAGTTATTGGTGCACTTATCAATATCTGAGGAGATCAAGTTATTTGTGCTCTCACAATATCTGAGATCAAGTTATTGGTGAACTTATCAATATCTGTGGAGATCAAGTTATTGGTGCACTTATCAATATCTGTGGAGATCAAGTTATTGGTGTACTTATCAATATCTGAGGAGATCAAGTTATTGGTGCACTCATCAATATATGTTGAGATCAAGTTATTGGTGCACTTATCAATATCTGTGGAGATCAAGTTAATGGTGCTCTTATCAATATCTGTGGAGATCAAGTTATTTGTGCTTTCACAATATCTGAGGAGATCAAGTTATTTGTGCTCTCACAATATCTGAGATCAAGTTTTTGGTGCATTTATCAATATCTGTGGAGATCAAGTTATTGGTGCACCCACCAATATCTGTGGAGATCAAGTTATTGGTGCACTTATCAATATCTGAGGAGATCAAGTTATTGGTGCACCCATCAATATCTGTGGAGATCATGGTACCCCTGAGGAGATCAAGTTATTGGTGCATTTATCAATATCTGAGGAGATCAAGTTATTGGTGCATTTATCAATATCTGAGGAGATCAAGTTATTGGTGCACTTATCAATATCTGAGGAGATCAAGTTATTGGTGCACTTATCAATATCTGAGGAGATCAAGTTATTTGTGCTCTCACAATATCTGTGATCAAGTTATTGGTGAACTTATCAATATCTGTGGAGATCAAGTTATTGGTGCACTTATCAATATCTGTGGAAATCAAGTTATTGGTGCACTTATCAATATCTGAGGAGATCAAGTTATTGGTGCACTCATCAATATATGTGGAGATCAAGTTATTGGTGTACTTATCAATATCTGTGGAGATCAAGTTATTTGTGCTCTCACAATATCTGAGATCAAATTATTTGTGCTCTCACAATATCTGAGATCAAGTTATATGTGCTCTCACAATATCTGTGGAGATCAAGTTATTGGTGCACTTATCAATATCTGTGGAGATCAAGTTATTGGTGCACTTATCAATATCTGTGGAGGTCAAGTTATTGGTGCACTTATCAATATCTGTAGAGGTCAAGTTATTTGAGCAGTTAAGCTAACATGATATTTTATTCTGTATTATTTAATATATAAATATATTATCAACATTACATTTTTCTTCAACTGTGTAAATTATTGATTAAAATTTGACTTATCTCAAAAACAAACGTCTTCCTTCCTTTATCTTTGGCTCTGTTCGAAGAATTTGATACTGACAAGTGTCTAATTTCCCAAATGCATTCACACATTTCTTCGAAACATGGATGCCAGGTTGCTTTGGTAGTTATGTCTATAGTCTTGAGCACTTTAAATCATTTCTCCTAGGCAACCCATCGCTAATGTTTACGCTAATGTTAACATGTTCTTTTTTCTTCAGTATCTTTGCACATTTAATCTTGCAATATTAATCCCCCCCACCCCACCCCCAACCGACTCCCCCTCCCACCCCCCCCCCCCCCCCACCCCCACCCCCACATTTTTTTTTTCGAAAATGTCAATAAATAAAAATGAATGTGAAATAAAAAAAAAAAAGAAAACTCACAATAAAGAAACCGTTAAGTAGTGAATGCGTGCTTACCTTCACAGGACCTTTTATCGTCTTTCAGTTGGTAACCCCTCCTACAGGAACACACAAATGTCCCTAGCACATTGACACAGTTCTGTTGACAGACGCCTTCAGCTTCACACTCGTCTACGTCTGCCAACGATTCAGTTATAAACAAAATAAGATGTACTGCACGCTCTTCAAAACTATTGTTTAATCAACTGTTTTATAAACCCCAAACATAACTTGCAAATTTTTTTTAAAGTCAACCTGTCTATCAGCCATATTGAAGCGGAAGATTTTCATAAATCATGATCGTTGGTATTCAGATCAGTTCTGTTGATGTTATTACCCAATGACACTGCCTTACACGATCCAAGCATAGTTTCTTTCGTTTGCAATACATCTTCTACCAGTCGTCCCGATGCTTTCATCTCCACTCCTCTCATTATATAATCAAAGGCGTGGGGCTTTAAAATAATTCAACATTGCGTCCCATACAGGGGTGAGGTTAATTAGGTCAATGCAGCAGAGTATTTAACACAATAAATCTGTGTTATTAAAACTTGGGCACACACGTTTGTCTATCTTCTTCTTTCTTCTTTTCTCTACTCCTGGAGTGCCTCGCGCCGTCAGGACAAAAAGAAATTTCTGGAACGGGCCTTTCTGTTTGCTTCGAAAAAGTACTTTTCGGTGTCTCTAATATTAATGCATATTCTGTGTGGTCGACCTCTGGTTCAGTTACCGTTGCATCTGTATAACATTGCTCTCTGTGGTGCCATGTCTGATGCCAGTTGTATTTCAACTGGCATGTGTATATTGCATAAAATAAATAATAAGAAATATACGTGCATTGTGAGCGATTAGTAAACAAGTAAGGAATGCATTCAAGCCCACATAATCGTTTTTAGATGAGTATTTGACTACTACGCATAACTCCAAAATGCAACATCAATGTAAATGTGACAAACCTCAAACAAGTTGATATGTTTAAGTACTTGGGTACACTTATAACATCAGATGGAAGATGTGTTTAGGAAGTTAATGTCGAATAGCTTAAGCAAGGCAGATTTTAAAAAATTAAGAATATTATGTGTAATATTTCTTTGTCAATTGAGACAAGAAAGAGAATTCTTAATAGCTATATAAATCCTATCTTGATATATGGAAGTAAATCATAAACAGTTGGTAGATTAGTGAAAAATTATTTGGAAGCTGTGAAGATGTGGTTTTATAGACGAATGGTGAGATGCCCTGGGCAGGTAAAAAGAGTAATGAGGATGTCTTGAAAGAAACTGACTCACGAAGAGAACTGATAGCCCACATCAGAAAGAGACAATCTACATTCTTTGGCTATGTGATAAGATGGAGAAAACTGAAGTACATCGTGACAGTAGGAAAGTTGGAGTGGAGGAGAGGTAAAGAGAGAAAAGATGCTGGACAGTTTGACATCATGGCATGGAGGACCATCTGTGTCACAGTTGACTGAAAGTACACGAGACAGAAGGCTGTGGACAGACATGACTACCAACGCCACAGGCACGGACTAAAGAAGAAGAAGAAGAAAAGCTAAAACAGTGAAAACTAACACAGACATCAGAAGTAGACAGACAATATTTATAAGCTTTATCGTGAGAACACGGATACGTTAAAGTTCTGTGAAAACTAGATTGATGGTGAAGCGGCTATGAAAATAAATATATATTAGCATTCAAGTGGGTATTATCATCATCATAAGCATTATCATCTTTTTCTTCTTTTTCTTTTTCTTCTTCTTCTTCTTCTTCTTCTTCTTCTTCTTCTTCTTCTTCTTCTTCTTCTTCTTCTTCTTCTTCTTCTTCTTCTTCTTCTTCTTCTTCTTCTTCTTCTTCTGCTTCTTCTTCTTCGCGTTCACGGGATGTAAACTGTATATTTCTTCTTCTTCTTCTTCTTCTTCTTCTTCTTCTTCTTCTTCTTCTTCTTCTTCTTCTTCTTCTTCTTCTTCTTCTTCTTCTTCTTCTTCTTTTCTTCTTCTTCTTCTTCTTCTTCTTCTTCTTCTTCTTCTTCTTCTTCTTCTTCTTCTTCTTCTTCTTCTTCTTCTTCTTCTTCTTCTTCTTCTTCTTCTTCTGCTTCTTCATCTTCGCGTTCACGGGATGTAAACTGGCGGAAACTTCTGCTTGTTTCCCCACCTCTGAACTTTAGTTTTATTCCAGAAACTGAGTATTGCGTGCCCATTGATTTTACAGACCTGACTTATTTGTATGCAGATTGCAGATGCATATTCGACTTTGAAAGAAGTCTATAGTTAGTAGACTCTTACGACATGCTGGTTGGGCAGACAGTGGTTCTATTCTTGCATCTCCCCCCCCCCCCCCCCCATGTGGCCCTGGAACAGCCACGGAGAGGGGGTGAGTATTTATTGGCGGATACCAGAAGCTGTGGTGAAGAAGAATAATCGCCCAAGTGCCATTTCTAGGAGTCGGTTGTGGTTATAAAAGCACGACTGATAATAGTGATGATGATAATGATGGTGACGATGATGATGATGATAAAATTATTATTATTACCTGCCTAAGTCTTAAGACATTAATTCCCACCCATAATACAATTATAAGGAGACTCAACCTTCACCCCCTCCCACACCTCCCAAAGATTGCTTGGTGGCGGTGTACCTGATTTAAGAGTACCGTGTGTTTAAACTTAGCAGCTGTCCTGAGAGCAGTTCACATAGACAAAGACTATTTGTATGTTTTCTGTAGATCTAACAACATTGATACATTAACTTTGCAACCTGTGCATCCGTCATTGTCATCAGATACGAGTCCATCAATGCAGTCACATTTAAAAGATCCAACCGTGTTAACACATCTAGAGTTAGATGGACAAATTGCTGCACCGTACGAGCATTCATCAACATCTGAGAGATCAAAAATGCATAGCAGTTATACATGACAAGTGCATACATTTTTCCAAATATTGTCTGACATGTTCTTTTATAATGGACAATGCAAGTGTCTTTATAAGTTAGTGTAATAATGTATTACACGAGCAACAACAACAAACACCAGTGATGCAGTTAATCTCGTAGTTGTATGTACAACAGTTGTCTTCAGCTAAATACACTTCATTCAGCGATCTTAGTCATTTATAATATTGCATTTGATGAACCATTTTTATATTCTAACGTAATTGCTGCTGCTTCTTCTGATAAATTTTCCTATTTGATGAACCATTTTTATATTCTAACGTAATTGCTGCTGCTTCTTCTGATAAATTTTCCCATTTGATGAACCATTTTTATATTCGAACGTAATTGCTGCTGCTTCTTCTGATAAATTTTCCCATTTGATGAACCATTTTTATATTCTAACGTAATTGCTGCTGCTTCTTCTGATAAATTTTCCCATTTGATGAACCATTTTTATATTCTAGCGTAATTGCTGCTGCTTCTTCTGATAAATTTTCCTATTTGATGAACCATTTTTATATTCTAACGTAATTGCTGCTGCTTCTTCTGATAAATTTTCCCATTTGATGAACCATTTTTATATTCTAACGTAATTGCTGCTGCTTCTTCTGATAAATTTTCCTATTTGATGAACCATTTTTATATTCTAACGTAATTGCTGCTGCTTCTTCTGATAAATTTTCCCATTTGATGAACCATTTTTATATTCTAACGTAATTGCTGCTGCTTCTTCTGATAAATTTTCCCATTTGATGAACCATTTTTATATTCTAACGTAATTGCTGCTGCTTCTTCTGATAAATTTTCCCATTTGATGAACCATTTTTATATTCTAACGTAATTGCTGCTGCTTCTTCTGATAAATTTTCCCATTTGATGAACCATTTTTATATTCGAACGTAATTGCTGCTGCTTCTTCTGATAAATTTTCCCATTTGATGAACCATTTTTATATTCGAACGTAATTGCTGCTGCTTCTTCTGATAAATTTTCCCATTTGATGAACCATTTTTATATTCTAGCGTAATTGCTGCTGCTACTTCTGATAAATTTTCCTATTTGATGAACCATTTTTATATTCGAACGTAATTGCTGCTGCTTCTTCTGATAAATCTTCCTATTTGATGAACCATTTTTATATTCGAACGTAATTGCTGCTGCTTCTTCTGATAAATCTTCCCATTTGATGAACCATTTTTATATTCGAACGTAATTGCTGCTGCTTCTTCTGATAAATTTTCCTATTTGATTAACCATTTTTATATTCGAACGTAATTGCTGCTGCTTCTTCTGATTAATTTTCCTTTTTTCTTCCCCTTGCTCATCATCTTTTTCTTCTTGTCGTCATCGCTGTCCTCCCTCCTCCTTATTTGAACAACAGAAAGAGCAGAATAAGCCTGCCAAGGGTGCATTTCTGAAGATTAAAAGTTGTTTTATGTAGCAAGTTATATTAATTACAAATGGGGAAGAAAATACTGAAGTGTTAATTGAACTTACTCCGCTTTATTGAGTTAATCTCAGAATGTGAGCTTAACAAATTATGAAGAGTTTGAAAGAAAAAGACATGTTACTTTGAGACGAATATGGTGGCTATCTTGGACTATCAGAATAACTAGCAACTGTTTAACAGTTTGAAAAAAAAAAAAACTCTAATTCAGTAAGAATCGAGTGAGCATTATAGAAACTATTGCCAGTAGGAAACTATTACATTACAGAAACTATTGCTATAACAAAACTACTGAACATTGTAGCAACTATGGCAAAACGACAAACAGTATTCTTTGGTCATATAATTAAAAGAGACATAATGAAAACATCACCACGACCGGAAAAGACGTCAACAGCATTGGCAGATCACGAGGAAGGAAATTGAATTGCCTAGGGTTGCAACGGGGAGTCTCTGTGTCAACAAAATTGACAAAGAACACACAGGAAAGACATCTGAAAAGAGATTTGAACGTCTACACCACACTGGGCAAGCACACGCTTGTAGTGTTGATTCTAATGATGGTGCCATTCCCTATATTCAGTGTTAATCCTTTCTTCTTCCTAAAACATACTTTATTTCGATAGGATTCAGTGACCATTTACGTCTGTTGATTTATTACCAGGTGACGTCGTATCGTTACACTTCCATTTTGATACATAATTATTGAGGGCTATTCACTTTTCCCAGTCTTTGTCCACTGAACGTAAATTTGACTGTATTTCGACAGATGAGTGAAAGGATTGTGCATAATTTATATTTTTTTTTCTCAGGTACCTGCAGAAATCAATCTTGTATCGTTTATTTTGTATCATGCAATTTGCTCTCTTGATACTTAAGACTAAATCATCCATTGCAACAGGGCATCGGCACGTAGCACACTATTCATCATGTCATCAATGTTACCGATAAAGATGAGACTTCAAATAAACGCTACCCTGAAGCAGCAGCCTGTGTATTTTATGACATAAAACTGTAGTATCCACTATATTAGTTTACTATAGTCCGTTCCTAAAGTCCTGCTCAAATTTAAAAATCCGTAACCCAGTAACCGATCGTTGTAAGTCGTGAAAATTGGCATTCAACCTGTTAACAATCATGTCCTTGTGAGAATTGTTTTTTAAAAATCCCCCTGCTAGGCGCAGTGCGGGGCTAAACTCGATGGCTGGGACTCATGAGCAGGAGTTACCGCATCTCCTGCAGCTTCCTCCATTTTATTTGCTCGTGAGTCCGAGATTCTAGTTTAGCCCCGATCCGTGATACTCTCGGCAGAGGCAGTATAGTCGACGGAAAGAGGTCCGCAATTTACATGTAACTGGGGCCCTGTTAGGGTATATTTTCGGCCTCGATAATTTGGGGCCGTTATTCGAAGGATAGCCAAATCTGACCATACATCTAGTTTTCATTTTGCCTTATTTGCGTTATATGGAGAGAGAGATAAAAAACAGACACCGATTCAAAGCAATCAATAAACATGCTTACAGTTAACTGAGTAATCAGAACTTTTCCAAACATCAGACTGTACGCACGTCATATGTCTTTTACTCTCAAATGATCATCTAGACTATAAGTCTCCACTGAATAAGGGATTTTTTTCCTGAGTGAGGAATAGGCTGTCAAAATAATCACCCCGTATAGCTGCAAATGTGAAGTGATTTTCAAACAATCTCCCCACATGTGTGCATTACTGTTTTCCCCCTCTCCCTCTCCAGGGGTACATAAATTATTAGTCAAAGAAAGATCAAATAAATTCACTGTTTTAAGATAGCAGCAGCATCTGCGCAATTGTAAATTTTAGAATCATAAGGACACGGGAAATCTAAGGCACATGCAAAAATTCGTGTTGATCCGTTCATGAATTTTCGAGATATTTTTTAAAGTGTGTCGGCAGGAGTTTTGAAACACACTATAAGCGGTCGTGATCTAGATTATTACCTTTTTTGTAAAAAAAAAGAATGCAATGACAACTAGCACTAAACTTCACTTTGAGAATTGTAGATGTCTTAGACATAGAGCTACACCCCGTTGAGTTAGACTGTACAGATATTCAAACATGCATAATCAGTGACAACAATAAGAAAATCTCTGAAATGATTCGGTTGAACTTACCTACACATCTGCCAGCTGAATCATGTCGCATGCCTCTAGGGCACTGACAAAAATAAGTTCCCTGTCTGTTGATGCAGTGCTGGTCCGCACTGCACTTGTGTGTTCCTCGGTGACATTCATCAATGTCTGAAGCATCCAAAAAGAGATGAAAACATGGATGACTGCCGTCAAGACAACACCGAGAACGTTGTCCACTGAACTAAAAATAAACCATTGAACTATGACCACAAAGCTAAACGTAGGGGGATAGGAGAATACCGTATACGCACAAGACAAATCCGACGTTTTGGCTGGATTCTTTCTCAACACAAACCTTGCCATCTGTAGTCATGTCAGTTTTCTATAACTGCAGTTTAAAAATGACTTCGTGTCTGCTTTACAGGCACACGTAAAGAGAAGAATAACGCGACACATGATCTTGTGCTGTCCAGGTTGACGACATCTGCCTAGACACTTCCTACAGATTGATTTTACAAAGATTGAGCGAAGATACGACTATCAGCATCGTAGATGTAAGCCGCACCATACATTACACATTATAACAACTATTGCTCACTAAGCGGGTCTGGTACTGTGATGACCCTGCTTTGCATGGTCTCCACGAGTACATTGTGGCAAGCAGGAAGTCCGTGCTACAAGTGACGGCACGAGATACTTGTGGCCGGTGGAGTAAGCGAGGCGAAGCCCGAGCTAGCCTCGTGGTCAGTCGATCATGAGAAGTCAGTGAAGACGGTTGTAGTAATTGAAGATGTAGTTTTATGTTGTGAATGGTTAGTGTTCGAATATGTCGCGAGTGAAATAAATGTGAAATAAATGGACGAGAATAAACTGACAGAATGTACTTTGAAGCTGAGTGGCGTTAGTGTTGTCAACCCTAGACGTTGAAGCCGGTGCAAACCAAGGTTCATTCCAAGTAGACCAGAATCATTTCAAGATAGTTGAAAGCGTAACTTCAAGTCTACGTCTTGGTTCATTTCAGGTACTTAACCTAATTCGTTCTTTCTGTTAGCGGCGTTCGTGGCCTAGGCATTGCGAGTCCGACTCGTAATTCCAACGTACCGCGTTCGAAACCCACTGCCGGATTTTTATCATGGTATGGGGCGTCGCAGGTCGACCCAGCCTAAAATGGGTACCAGAATAGCTGTCCTGTGGAAGAAAAGACGACCGGCGTAATAATGCTGACTACATTACATACCTAATGCCAACAGTCTGTAAAAATATGGGAGCTCTTCCTATGCCCGAAACGCCTAAAGGCGTGAAAAGGGATCTTTACTTTACTTTTCTTTCTGTTGGTTCGATGCACACAGCGCCAAGCCTGACGTATTCCACGGTGAGTATTTAACCAATGGCGTTCTCTACTTCCCCCATCTAGGACCGCACCCTGTTTAGGTGCTTTCAGGTGTTTATCCGTAGGCACCGACTGACTGAATTTCTACCCCACCAGGACATCACACAAGCGACAAACACCCGATGACACAAAGTGCCACCATGTGGATGAGGATCGCCGTGGAGAGGTCCCAGAAACCGCGTTCAGACAATTGGCCATATTTATGGCCTGCCTATATTGCGGCCCATGGCAAAAGCCAGGGTGGGGCTTTAAATAACAAAAAAAAATTTCATCCTAAAAAGGACGAAACTGGATGGCATTCCGTAGGCACCTCTGCAGAGGGTGTTTTATGTCACAAGTAACATCGAGGTACGACCTCATCTGGGCCAGCTTGTGTCTAGTGACCATGTCGGCAGTCAGGTCGAGGATATATGACATTTATGTCTCTTGAACACCCGAGGAAACCTCAGGGTTTCATTTTGCACTTTTCTTAGTCTTTCCAGCTAATTTCTGCTGACTGTGAGGGGGCCAAGGCCACTGCGATTAAAAGGTGCATTTAAAATGATTGTATGCAAACGAGATGTTTATTATCCGAGGTATTTCCTATTATTTTCAACGCATTTTTTTTAAAAAGTTACACAACTGGATGTCTGGATGTCTAACTGTCTTGTGTGGCCGCTATTTGTTTTACATCGTCACAGAATATAGGTGCTGGAACACGAATGTCTCATTGAAACAAACGAACCCGTTCGAACAGCACTTTGACATGTTAGAATGTAAAGTTAAAAGTTGCGAAAAACAATTAAAATGACACTCCGTTACTAGTACGAACAGTAAGCAAGAATTATATATATATATATATATATATATATATATATATATATATATATATATATATATATATATATATATATATATATATATATATATATATAACATATATATATAATGTCTTTAAAAAGTGCACTAACCTTGGCATCCACTACTCTCTGATGGCTCATACCCGGCGGGACAGTTGACAACATTGCGACAGTAGTAAGAACCTCTAGTGTTGACACACCTCTGATGTCGACCACACACCGCAAGGCCAATCTCTTCACATTCGTCCACATCTACAAAAGTTATCAGGAAGATTGCAGAGGGAAAATAATATGTTTATTTATTCGTGTTTACTTACAGCAAAAATATCAAGTTAATTCTGTTTCTTCTTCTTTTTCTTCTTCTTCTTCTTCTTCTTCTTCTCTTCTTCTTCTTCTTCTTCTTCTTCTTCTTCTTCTTCTTCTTCTTCTTCTTCTTCTTCTTCTTTTTCTTTTTTTTTTTTCTTCTTCTTCTTCTTCTTCTTCTTCTTCTTCTTCTTCTTCTTCTTCTTCTTCTTCTTCTTCTTCTTCTTCTTCTTCTTCTTCTTCTTCTTCTTCTGCTTCTGCTGCTTCTTCTTCTTCTTCTTCTTCTTCTTCTTTTTCTTCTTCTTCTTCTTCTTCTTCTTCTTCTTCTTCTTCTTCTTCTTCTTCTTCTTCTTCTTCTTCTTCTTCTTCTTCTTCTTCTTCTTCTTCTTCTTCTTCTTCTTCTTAGCATTCCGTGGCTGTAAACTCTAGCGGAATGTTCTAGTAGTTCGTTCACTTTGGGGCTTTGGTCTTAGTACAGAACTTTTTGTATGCACATCCGTTTAGGGACACTTTTTTAATTTGTTTACAGACTACTGGTTCCTCGCCTCCCAGGCAGACTAAGGAATTTTTTTAATTAGTCGTCCTTTTTAGGAGTTTGAGTGTCTTCTCTCTCCAAGATGAAGCTATGGAACTTACACAGGGTTCCCTTGTGTTTGATGCTGTTAATAGTCATATATTTAGTGTAACGCATAGTTTATCACCATAACACATAAACGTTACATAATAATAATAATAAAAAAATAATAATATAAATAATATAATAATAATCATGTCAAACAACACAATAATTTTGATTTATACATGAATATCATCATCTGGTTGACTAGACGACTGCCGACTTGCCTGTCCATTTCTTGTAATCTACAACAGCATTTCTTTATCGGCACCTTTCAACGCCACGACAAAGTTACCCAGAATCAGCTCTTCTTGTCTTTCTTTACCTCTCTTTCCATAAACAGTCTCAGGTCTCATCATATTTACTACTTTCTTTTTTATAAATCCTTTCCTGATACGGCCAAAATGGCAACAGCGTCTGTTCAATATTTATCTTCTGTTCCTGTTCCTTTTAGGAAAAAAAATTAAAAGCTCGACCACGTTCAACCTGCTGCTAGCTAGACGAAGCTGCTAATAGTCTTTGGTTATATTTGTGGTCTTGTTTATTTGCGCCACTTTCGTGGTTAAAGTTTTGGTATTTGCGCCGTCTCTGTGCTTAGTCCTTCTTACCTCCAAGTCAGACCGCTTGATCTTTTCCCTGTTGCCAGCTGTGTTTTCCTGCCCTTGCATTCTGATGTCCTCCTTTTGGTTCAGGCTCTTTCTAAATTGGCCAGGCGTATCTCGCTGGAGAACGAGCTTCCCAAGATAGCATCCTTTTGGACCACCATTTGTAGTTTTAACATTTTTAATATTTTACTTTGCCAAAAGGTACTGAAAACAGTTTTTGGGTTTGGATAGATCCAAAACTGTGAAAAAAATTCCACGTGTGACAATAGTGGTCTAGTAGTACATTTTACCCCACTAGGACATCTCACTCACGATAAACACCTGATGAAAGAAAGTGCCACCATGTGGATGAGGATCACCCGTGGAGAGGGCCCGGAAACCGCGTTCAGTCATTAGACCATATGTATGGCCGGGCTATATCGATTGGTCTGTAAAAATATGGCCGATGCGACTAATGCGTGAAAAGAGATCTTTACTTTTATTCTACTTCTTTTTCTATTTCGGCCCCTGGCTTTTGCCAGGGGCCGGCTTCAAAATAAAGACATTGCATCCCACAAAGGGATGACTAGTAGTGGTCTTAAAGTTGTCTTCCTGTAATAAGAGCGGTTTAGGCATGTCATGGTGGTGTGAATGAAATTAAGTCTCACATTTATTATATGCGTTATTGGTCGTACAACGGTCCGGTTGTGGAGATTTGGATTGGTTGATGAACTCTGGAATACGTAATTTATCTTCTTCAGCGTTCGCTCTTAAATGGATGGTTGGAGCGCTATGTTGTGGTTTAAGCTAATCTTCAATTCGACTACTTACCCTCCAGGCTGCAACCGAAAGGTTTCCATACATCCTGGGATTAAACAATCTCATGCTGAACGGCAGACCCACAAAGCAGATCCCAGACAGCTCGTTCAGTCCCCAGACGAGTTATAATTAGGGATCCTGTGGCAGCTACACAATTGCCAGGTGTAACCCATGCTCCAATGTTTAAGTTTAGACGACGGATCAACATCATGGCACACGGGTGCAACCCACAAGTGCTCCGTTCTACTTCTAACTCAATCCTTGGTCTGACAAATCTCATCGTAGTGCACGAACTCCGAAGCACCGGTGAGGATCGTAAAATACTTTAGGTAGATTTTTAACTCCGAATTTTGCCCGGGCAGCGCCGTTAGGCTACTCTTTTTTAATTTCCAACTGCTAAGGTGTTTTTTACGTGCGCAAAAACACACACGGGCGTCCGATCTTACTACCCAGAGACCAGGAGAAATTACTAGAAGTCTACGTGAAAAAAAAATCCCAGCCTTCACCGGGGTTTGAACCCGGGACCTCCAGCACTCGATGGGTAAGAACGATTGATCCACAGTGGATTATATCCGGTTTTTCCAGAGGTAGACGCCGATGTCGCGCCTAAACGTAGACGCAGGGCTAATAAAAGACAGAAGGCAGTGAGTGCTGGGTGTACACATATATGGCAATATCTCAACCCTCTATCCTTAATCATAACTTTAGAAAATGAATTTTCCGTGGCTAAGTGGTCCAGTGGTTTGCTTCGCGCTTTAAAATTCGTGGGTTCATTTCGCAGTTCGTTATTTAGTTCACGAGTGCAGTTAGCACGGAGATCCCCAGAGGGTCGTCGCCGGAGCTACATAATTCGTGCTCTGTGCGACGCTCTCAGCAGTGGTTAGCCGTTCTGCAGAGAAAGAGAGAGAGAGAGAGAGAGAGAGAGAGAGAGAGAGAGAGAGAGAGAGAGAGAGAGACATATTGTATGAAACCTGATGCAATAAGATCTATCCTCCCAACTGTAACCTTAACTTTTTTAAACACCCCCACCCAACACCCCCGCCCCCTCCCCCCAAATGTGCTTGAAAAGAACAAGACAAATTGAAACATCATAAGCATCATTAACAAGAACTTGGAGGAACCATCTAAATAGATCAAAGTGTAGAATAATATTACATCCTTGGAATTTTGTTTTCTAAACATTTTTTTTAATATTACTTATTTTAAAAAGGATTAAACTGGAAAAAAATTTCAGATTTATTACAAGCACTAATTCAATTTCAAAACTGCTACACATCCCACCCTTGAAACTTCTCTGCGCACCCTAGCGAAGTGCGTCTTCCGGTTAAAAACCACTGAGCTACGCATTTTTTGTGCTACTTACCAACACAGTTTCCAGCTTCGTTTGGCTTGAGACCAGCAGGACACTGCACAGGGACACATTCACCTTTAGAGGTCTCGAACCGGTACCCTTCAGGGCATGCCGTTGGGACACATCTGTTAATATCGTATAACATATCGAAACACATTTTAGTCCAATCAGTGTCAATGGCAAGGTGAGATCAGTTCGCATTTGTAAGCGTTAGCAGATATCATATATAAGTGAAGAGGGTATCAGATTATATTTTTGTCGCTGTTGAGAAGACGCGAGAGCAGCTAGCATTGCAGTACCAGTAACTGGTAGCTTTCAGGCGTTACAGTTTCTGTACGAGCGGCGTAAGCATGTAGCGAGTGTTCTTTTCGCTGTTTGAGACGTAAACGGAGTGGCGTATTTGTAATAAATAGTCAACAGAAATAATACATAGTAAAATAATTGTTCTTGATCAATCCATTCAACCCAAATGGGTTGTGTTTGGAGTCTCTAATGTTAAGTGGTTCAGCTGTATGGAATCTCTAATGTTAAGTGGTTTAGCTGTATGGAATCTCTAATGTTAAGGGGTTTAGCTGTATGGAATCTCTAATGTTAAGTGGTTTAGCTGTAAGGAATCTCTAATGTTAAGTGGTTTAGCTGTATGGAATCTCTAATGTTCAGTGTTTAGCTGTATGGAATCTCTAATGTTAATTGGTTTAGCTGTATGGAATCTCTAATGTTAAGGGGTTTAGATGTATGGAGTCTTTAATGTTAAGGGGTTTAGCTGTATGGAGTCTCTAATGGTAAGGGGTTTAGCTGTATGGAGCCTTTAGTTTTAAGGCCGTGTATGCAGAAGCGGGTGTAAAGTAACTACTATTCGTATTCGGCCCGACCGCAACTATTCGGCTGAATACCGAATAGTCAATAGGTCCACTATTCGGCCCCGAAGCAAATAAGAAGCAAATTTTAGGTACAGCCCTAGTTGCTACCTTGTGCCATGACGTTGATCCTTTGTCTAAACCAAAAGCAATGAACTTAACAGTTTTTATTGTCTCTTTGCTGGCGGTAAATGTCTGTTAATTCAGTGATATTCTTGTGTGTATGTGTGTGTTTATAAACAGAGGTGTGTAGTTAGTATAAAGTGTCATAGTTGTCAAGCAACTGTTACCTGAACGAGCCTTGTATGTTTTGACATCTGTATCCGCCATCACAGTTGTGGGTGCCGAGAACACACTCATCGTTGTCTGGGGATAACAATGCATGAAGCTTTAGCCTCATTTTGTGAAAGAGATGTTGAAACAAACGCGCACATGCACACAAACGTGTGCGTAAAACACACACGCGCGCGCACACACATATATGTATATATAGGTGTGTCTGATATATATATATATATATATATATATATATATATATATATATATATATATATATATATATATATATATATATATATATATATATATATATATATATCGTTCATGCAGTTATAATTCATACTGAAGCATCTGCTCAACATAATAATGATTATTGTTATGATGTTATTATTTTATATTGTTGAGATAAAATATTTCCCTTAGGCTTTTCAACGCTGTAGAAAATCAGAGCCTTCTATTTAATACACAAATGATTATAATTATAACTTTTAAAAAAAAACACAAGTTTTTAAAACCCGACATCAAATGAAATGAAACAACCAGACCTGACGCACGCGGGGGTATCAATATAAGACCAAATCTAACCACCATGAACCAAAAAGTATGTATGAATGTAAGTTGAACCCCACCAGGACATCACGCAAGAGATAAACACCCGGTGACACAAAATGCCACCATGAGGATGAAGATCAAACGTGGACAGGTCCCGCAAACCCCGTTCAGCCGTTTGGCCATATTTCAGACCCGGTTATATTTAGGGCCTCCGGCAAAAGCCAGGTTGGGGTTCAAAATAACTAAAAATTGCATCCCACAAGGGGAAGACCAGATGAATTCAGACTGAACCAAAAGGAAGAGAATGACACTATAAATACTGCAGTGAATTGTGTATCTGACTGCATCGACGACCGGGTGGCCCATTGGCTGGCCGGTAGAAGGCCTCGTCGCGGGTCGGGACAGTATTTAGGTCTGTCACCAACGATCGCCTCAGCACTGAAGAGTCCTTTTCAAGACTTCTTGGTGACGAGCAATATTAAGCTATTTTAAATGGCGCACATAACCTAGTCACATTTATAACCAAAAGCTCCCCATTGGGGAATGCTGGTTGAACGAGACGATTTTTCTTCTTCTCAAAATCGGATCGGATCGGTGTATGTGGCCACGGCCTTCTCTATTTATTAGAGACGGCGTTGATCTGGCTGAGTGTATGTTGTCTTCGGCTGCAGTCAGCATATCTGTGTCTGTCAGATACTTGTGTGTGTGTGTGTATGTGTGCGGGCGCGTGTGCGTGGGGTTGTGGGTGTGTGTGTGGGTGTGTGTGTGGGTGTGTGTGTGTGTCTGAGTGTGGGGGGTGTAATGTGGATCATCATAACAGGTCCTGGGCAGAACGTTGATCTCTTCAAGGCACGCCTGAAAGTCTTCCTGTATCTAGCCAGTTCTGCAGCCTCAAGAGCTTTCATAACTAGTGCATCTCCAGTGTCTTGTATCCACCTTCAGTTAGGGTCATTTTCATGGGTAGAAATACTGCTCCTTTGTCGATGTCCCTTGCTGCTGTCCATTTTTTTTTTTAATGAACTAGATCTTATATACTGTCCCTGTTGTCTTGACGGCGTCTGTGACTAAGACGTTGCGAACACGCTTCGGAATTCCGTGGTACCCGGTTCAATTTTAGCTGCGGATGATTTGCTAGCCAACAGCCTTGCATTTATTTCGATAGGGGGCATCGAGAAACCAAATACTGTTCAGTAAAATGGCAAATTGAATTGACTAACAAAATCATAAACAGTCAAGAAATGCTGGGGCTGGTTCAGCAAGTTCGGTAACAGATCTTCTTTTTGGGCATTCCTTGAGCCTTGATGTTCATTGCTGCAGATTTCATCTGCCTCCACTCATCTCTCTGGTCTGTCTTTTCTTTCAAGTTGGTAACACCAAGTGTTTGCAGGTCTCTGAAAATGATCTCTGTGTGTTTCTGGACGGTTGGCTTCTCTATACCTCTGTCGAAACCATTGCAAGACGCAAGGCCTGCAGCTGGGATCGAACCCGGCACCCCGACATTACAAAGCAATATTACAGCAACGAACTACTTCAGCCAGTATTCGTGCCATTTAACAACACACAGACATTACATTTAAGTAGTCGTGGTAATGACGATTGGCTACACACCGATACATTTCTGGGATTCCTCGTCCAGTGTATAGCCTGTACCACAATGACGTTCTCGCCTACACGCGAATGATCCAATAGAATTCTCACATCTCTCCCCAGCTCTACAAGTGTCAATACCAAGACCACATTCATTAATATCTGCAATAAATAATATACATACGTGTACATTCTGTTAATGATCACAAAGAAATGCATTAACTTATTTTAGGGAAATATGGAAAATGCAGTAGCAATTAAAAAAGCTATTGTCAATATTATGGCCTTCTTTTCATTCCGTGTCTTTTGTTTTGGCGAATTATTTAATAAAAAATAAATACCACTAACAAGACAGTCATTTGTATACAATTTATGTTAAGACAACCGAAAGGCAATTAGTTTTTTTTTTTTTTCCAGGAAAATATATTTATGATGAGACCTTTAAGAATATTCAGTATAAATTTCAGAGACTAGAATATGGGCTATAACATTTCCCTTACCCAAGGTCCACGGAAAAAGTATCTCAATAATCCTTGAATGACACCATAGAAAGAAAAAAAAACATTGCACTTTGCATCATTTCGTTACAAGTCGTCATTGATCAAAAAGATGAATAGTGATTTTTCATTCTCACAGAGCTTTTTTAGAACCAATATCTTTAGCGGCGCTCTTAAGGCCCACTGTCTTCCTGGGGAAAAAAAGGTCTGAAAGAGGGCATTCATAACACATTCTATTTGTTTCCTTCTTTAAATTTTATAAGAGGCCTTTTGCAGACTATATTTCTCAGCTAGGAAGTACAATTTCGGAGGATGGGAAATAGAAACAAAATGCCAACGAGCCAGTCCACTTATATACCAGCTGACACCGTTATTAAAACATCCACACATAAGTGCGATCGCCCAAAAAAAAAAAAGAACATATCATAAACGGCATATTCATATAAACACTGTGCTACCAGTGCCAGACTTGGACATTTTGCAAAGGTTAACGTTGCTAAAATTAATACCTGTGAAATGAGATGCATGAGAAAAGACGCCAAATTAACCATCCGAGATTAAGTTTGAAGTAATAATATCATAGTCAGAAACAGACAGAAAGACTGTAGGAACAACAGCGTGCAGCAAATTCACAAAGAAATAGAAGATCAAATGGTTTGGCTAGACAGAAATAATGCAACCAGAACAGCTACCAACGCTGGCGCCACTCATCAAAAGATCTGAAGTTAAACCAAGAGGTTACTCCAGGAGAATATGGATTGATAACATTAAATATCTTCAACATCGACATGGAGGGCAATAGCCATTGCTGCGCATAAAGCAATTGATCGCATGCTGTTCTTCCCCACAACGCTTAACAGAAGAAGTGGAAATCGACAATGATGATGATGATGATGATGATGATGATGATGATGATGATACATCATCTGTCAGAATTGTGCATTTGTTTGATGGTTTTCCTCTTCTTCTTAGCGTTCACCGGCTGTAAACTCCGGCGGAAAGTTCTGGCTGTTCGTCCACTCCTAGACATTGGCCTCGATCCACATGCTGAGCTTTGCGTGAACATAAGTTTTACACATCTGGATTATTTTATGCAGACCGTTGGTTCCACGCTTCTTAGACAGATATATTCCGACTGTGAAGGAAACACCTTAATTAGTCGTCTCCCAGGAAATGCTCGTTGTGGGGCCCCGGAGTCCAAATGACGGTTTTCCCACAATCCCACACACTCAGACCTAGGTCGTTCCCCTTAGACCTAGGTTGTGTGTCGTTCAACCCCACCAGGACGGTACAACGAGCGACCAACGCCCGGTGACACAAAGTGCCCTTATTCGGATGAGTATCACCCGGGCACAAGTCCTAGAAACCCCGTTCAACCGTTAGATTAAATTAGGGCTACCGATTATAGCCGTGGTGGTTCTTTAAAAAAAAAAGACAATTGCGTCCCATACTGGGACTGGATATTGTTTTCCTATATTCCTTCTAAGCGGCCGAAATAAGTGAAGATCCCCTTTTACGCCTTTAGACGTATGGGGTACATGGAAAGAGAGCCCATATTTGTATAGACCAATCAGCACTAAGTGGGTAAGTGGTGAACATTACGCAGGCCATTTTTACTTCCCTAGGACGGCCATCCTAGTACCCATTTTAGGCTGGGTCGCCCTGCGACGTTGGTCAGAAAAAAATAGTATATGTGATGTTTAATTAGCGCGTACCTTCGCATGTTCTGGAGACGGAACTGTAAGCAAAACCGATTGCACACTGGACAGGAATAGGCTGGCACTGATTGCTTGTTTGATTCAGCTGGAAGCCAACTGGGCATTGCACTGTTTGCACTGAAGTACACGTGAAACGACCTCTAGTGTTGACACATTTCTGTCCTGGGGCACAGACTGCCGCATCTTCCGCACACTCATCGATGTCTGCAACAAATGGTACTCTTTGGCATTTTTTATTTCGAATAAATATGCTGTATATAAACTAGCATGTTTAACCTTTGATTTGAGAAGGGAGAGGCCGTGATGTAGCCACTAGACACGGATCTGAAGGTCGTGGGTTCAAATCCGATGGAGAGATATTTGTTTTTAATAACTTGGATTCCGAGATCGACCAAGCCTTAATTGGTATCAGCTAAAGGAGGTCGGCGTGATATTGATCATATCACACATCGGGTGCCGATTGGTCTATAAAATATACGCATAGCACTATATATGCCTATTACGTCTGAAATCTTGAAAAAGGGCCTGGTCGGGGATTATCTGCTTATCTATATATATATATCACACACCCACACATACACACAACCTTCTTCCCCAGTCTCAATGCTCTCTTTTTGCCTTTCTCTGTCTCTTGTGTTGTCTCTCTCTCTCTCTGTCTCTCTGTCTCTCTCTCTCTCTCTCTCTCTGTCTTTCTGTGTGTCTCTGTTTCCGAGTCTCTCTCTCTCGCTCTTACTCTCTCTCTGTCGCTTTATCTCTCTCTCTCTCTCTCTCTCTCTGTGTGTGTGTGAGTCTATGTGTGTGTTAGAAATGAATATACCTTCACAAGACATCAAATCTGATGCTAGACGATATCCTTGGTAACAACGGCATTCAATACCACCCTCTTTGGTGTCTAAACATCGCTGTTCGCACGGATTGTTCAGCTCACAGCTCTCTACTTCTACATCTTGTTCTTCATTAAGATCTGAATATGAAGACAATGACAGACAGCAGCAGATTATATATATATATATATATATATATATATATATATATATATATATATATATATATATATATATATATATATATATCGTCTATAGAAATGCTCTTTAAATGAGACCAACATACATTTAAGATTATTTCAGGTCTTTTTATTTTAGTTATTTTTATTCATTTCATTATTATTTAACAATAATAAAGCTCATCTTTTGTTGTTGTTGTTGTTGTTGTTGGCGGTGTTGATGTTGTTGTTGTCGTTGTCATTGTTGCTGCCTAGACAATTTGTATAGCGAGTGTGGGGGAATGAAGGGCGGGGAAGTAGGGTTGGGGCGGGGGTGGGTGGGTGCAGACTGTTTTCTCTGGGTCGGCGCTAGTTCTTTCTTCTGTCTCTTAAGTCCATCGTAGTATATTACTTACTTATTGTGTTTATAATACTGTGTGGCCTCAGAGACAACTCAACAATTTAAGGTTATTACATCAACTAACTAAATGCACTTTTCAAAGGAATGCACTATAAAACTGTAAAAGGCAAGTAGAATAATTTAACAAGTATATCATTTGCGACTCTGATACATTTCCTATTGAAATATCAGTAATTCCTCTTCCTGATCACTTTGACTCACATTTCCCTTTTCTTCCTTGCTTAGTGTTGTGGCTGCATTGTAACTCACATGTTAATGTTCTGATTTTTCCTCCCTCAAATTATATCTGGTGCCTAGTTGACCATGTTATTAGTGCACTTGTTTCTATAGCGAGGCACACACGCCATTTGGAGGTGACAGATTCGATTCCCAGCACGGTGACAATAGCCTTCGATTTTTATATTGTTTAGTGTGTTCTTCTATCTTTCTACTTCTTTCTACGAGTGCCGATCAATACATTGTCTATTTGTTTATTACATTTAATATTTATACGGCCGTAAGGGTTTCCCTGAGTTTTTTAAATGTAAATTGTCTCTAATATCCCTGGATATATTGAGTTTACCTAATATAGTTACACAGTCGTATATGTCATGTTTCAGACAGGCACATTTTAGTTAATACATTAAATACACAATATATGCTTATGTTTCTTAAATGCTATACGTTAGTTTATTTGACATGCTCTTTGTATTTGATACATGGAATGCAATGATATTCCTAGATTACCTGATGGCGTTGGAGTCACTTCTGCCTTTAGATCGGAGCTGGAAATACATGTCTTGTTATCTCTACTGTCAAGATACATCCCTTGGGGGCATGCACAATAAAATCCTTTCGGCAAATCAACACAGATATGAGAACACACATGACCATGCGATACGCTGCATTCATTGATTTCATCATGCGATACATTCTGATTCCCAACAGCTGGTATGTTGCCGCTGCTCTCATTATGTAGAGACTGTTGAGTATTATCGTCGTTTACTGCCGAAATGTCGTTAGTATTTGAATATCTGTAAGTGCCTTGAGAATGCAAGAAACAACCGTTAGTAACAATTATTACTTTAACACAGTTCGGGAAGTAAATGAACACTTTCTGACAGACATCATGCTCTTGACTGTCATTAGCAGAACACTTTCTGACATACATCATGCTCTTGACTGTCATTAGCAGAACACTTTCTGACATACATCATGCTCTTGACTGTCATTAGCAGAACACTTTCTGACAGACATCATGCTCTTGACTGTCATTAGCAGAACACTTTCTGACATACATCATGCTCTTGACTGTCATTAGCAGAACACTTTCTGACATACATCATGCTCTTGACTGTCATTAGCAGAACACTTTCTGACATAATCACACTCTTGACTATCATTAGCAGAACACTTTCTGACAAAATCACGCTCTTGACTGTCATTAGCAGAACACTTTCTGACATACATCATGCTCTTGACTGTCATTAGCAGAACACTTTCTGACATAATCACACTCTTGACTATCATTAGCAGAACACTTTCTGACAAAATCACGCTCTTGACTGTCATTAGCAGAACACTTTCTGACAAAATCACGCTCTTGACTGTCATTAGCAGAACACTTTCTGACAAAATCACACTCTTGACTGTCATTAGCAGAACACTTTCTGACAAAATCACGCTCTTGACTGTCATTAGCAGAACACTTTCTGACATAATCACACTCTTGACTGTCATTAGCAGAACACTTTCTGACAAAATCACGCTCTTGACTGTCATTAGCAGAACACTTTCTGACAGACATCATGCTCTTGACTGTCATTAGCAGAACACTTTCTGACATACATCATGCTCTTGACTGTCATTAGCAGAACACTTTCTGACATACATCATGCTCTTGACTGTCATTAGCAGAACACTTTCTGACAGACATCATGCTCTTGACTGTCATTAGCAGAACACTTTCTGACAGACATCATGCTCTTGACTGTCATTAGCAGAACACTTTCTGACAGACATCATGCTCTTGACTGTCATTAGCAGAACACTTTCTGACATACATCATGCTCTTGACTGTCATTAGCAGAACACTTTCTGACAGACATCATGCTCTTGACTGTCATTAGCAGAACACTTTCTGACATACATCATGCTCTTGACTATCATTAGCAGAACACTTTCTGACATACATCATGCTCTTGACTGTCATTAGCAGAACACTTTCTGACAGACATCATGCTCTTAACTGTCATTAGCAGAACACTTTCTGACATACATCATGCTCTTGACTGTCATTAGCAGAACACTTTCTGACAGACATCATGCTCTTAACTGTCATTAGCAGAACACTTTCTGACAGACATCATGCTCTTAACTGTCATTAGCAGAACACTTTCTGACATACATCATGCTCTTGACTGTCATTAGCAGAACACTTTCTGACAGACATCATGCTCTTAACTGTCATTAGCAGAACACTTTCTGACATACATCATGCTCTTGACTGTCATTAGCAGAACACTTTCTGACATACATCATGCTCTTGACTGTCATTAGCAGAACACTTTCTGACAGACATCATGCTCTTGACTGTCATTAGCAGAACACTTTCTGACATACATCATGCTCTTGACTATCATTAGCAGAACACTTTCTGACAGACATCATGCTCTTGACTGTCATTAGCAGAACACTTTCTGACATACATCATGCTCTTGACTGTCATTAGCAGAACACTTTCTGACATACATCATGCTCTTGACTGTCATTAGCAGAACACTTTCTGACAGACATCATGCTCTTGACTGTCATTAGCAGAACACTTTCTGACATACATCATGCTCTTGACTATCATTAGCAGAACACTTTCTGACAGACATCATGCTCTTAACTGTCATTAGCAGAACACTTTCTGACATACATCATGCTCTTGACTGTCATTAGCAGAACACTTTCTGACATACATCATGCTCTTGACTGTCATTAGCAGAACACTTTCTGACAGACATTGCTCTTGACTATCATTAGCAGAACACTTTCTGACATACATCATGCTCTTGACTGTCATTAGCAGAACACTTTCTGACAGACATCATGCTCTTGACTGTCATTAGCAGAACACTTTCTGACATACATCATGCTCTTGACTGTCATTAGCAGAACACTTTCTGACATACATCATGCTCTTGACTATCATTAGCAGAACACTTTCTGACAGACATCATGCTCTTAACTGTCATTAGCAGAACACTTTCTGACATACATCATGCTCTTGACTGTCATTAGCAGAACACTTTCTGACATACATCATGCTCTTGACTGTCATTAGCAGAACACTTTCTGACATACATCATGCTCTTGACTGTCATTAGCAGAACATTTTCTGACATACATCATGCTCTTGACTGTCATTAGCAGAACACTTTCTTACATACACAATGCTCTTGACTGTCATTAGCAGAACACTTTCTGACATACATTGTGCTCTGTGATCGTATTTAGTTACTAAAGTATATTTTGCGAAATATAAGGTTTTAGGTTTAGACAAGGGAGCAAAATCATGGCACATAGTAAACCATATGTGCTCCATTATACTTATGGCTCAAACCTGAGTCCGAACAATCTCAGCGCAGTGCACGAACTCCATAGCACCGGCGAGGATCCTGAAATACTTTGAGTAGATCTTTAATTCCAAACTTTGCTAGATAAGCCAATACACACGGGCGTCCGATCTGACTATCCAAAGACCAAGGGAAAGCCCAGCCTTCACCGAGGCTTGAACCCAGCTTGACGCCATGCCCCGAGACCACGCAGCCCCCCCCCCCCTTCCCCCCTCCACCGAATCATACAGTACAGTAACTTGCCTGTCAGTGAGAAGTTGCCTGTGGCGTCACCGCGACAGCACTCACTGTACTTGGAATCACATGGCTCTCCCAGACCTGGAGCCCTGCAACTTGTTCCGGACATGCGCGACACAAGACCCAGCTGACAGCAGTGACAACATTCCTGTATTGTGTAATCAATGTAGGAAAGTGTCATGTTATTATGTTGTCATATGCAGTAGTCCACATTTCTTTCCTGTCCAGTTCTCCTAAATATGCCAGATATTTCTTGTCACGTGATTGTCAGGTTTGTTTATTTATGTAAATCTTTTCTTTCATATCTGGTGTTGCTTGTCTGTAGTCCTTTGGCGACTGCGAGGTTTATTAATCTCCATCCATTATCCTTTGATTTTGTATGTAGGCTTTCTAAACTTGCTACATTTTAATTTTTTTTTTTCTCTCCGTATTTTTGTACTGAAATTTCCTAGGACATTCAATACGAATCGTTTTTAATTTCCCTCTATGATATTCCCAAGAAGACCATAGAAATCGTCTTTAATAACATCTTCTTTGTCAACCATAGACATGAAAATCGTCATTTTTTTTTCTTTCTGTAACGGGTCGACATAGTTTGATGGTGTGCAGCAATAATTGTAGTGACACGCCCTTTGCCAGTTTCTTATAGTGACACTTGTAGTGAGTGTACGTAAAGGGCTAGACCTATATATTTTATAGACCTATCAGCATTCGGTAAGTGGTGTGCCCAGCATCACACCGGCCACCTTTACTTCCCATGACTTTACCAGTATCGCGTGCGGATATCCACTAGAACGCAACAGTATTGAGTAAGCAAATGGGACGTCAAAACAATAAGTAATGTTGTTGAGGGATTGTTGTCAAAAAAGCATTCGATGTTTACAGTCTGAAGGAGACAAACGTGTGGATCCTTGAGGACGCTCTACCAGGGATGCCATGCCACTGAAGCAGTCGTTGTATAAAGTTTAATCCTTGAGGATGCTTTACCCCGGGATGCCATGCCATTGAAGCAGTCGTTGTATAAAGTTTGATCCTTGAGGATGCTTTACCCCGGGATGCATGCCACTGAAGCCCTATTTCATCGTTGGTACCCACATCACAATGAAGCCGCCGCAGTCACAACTTGGTACCCATTTAAAGCTGGGGTTGACCCGTGAGCAAGTTTCCTTTCTGAAGACGAAAAAACCGGCTCTGTCAGAACCTGAATCCATGACCTTCCGATCTGCAGTCAAGCGTCTAGATGTTAACACCATGTGACTACATGAATTACTCTTGATCACATGTTCAGACCTTCAGCGTCAGTCTACACGATCTTGTACTACACTGGTTCTGGACTTGCCAGGTTGCAAGATTTCATGATATATTATTTGTTGTTGGGATATGCTAGGGGGAAAAAACCTGTGTGCGTTTTTGTTGAGAAACGCTGCGTTAATTGATGAAAAATATGCTACAGAATTCATTGAAGCAAACCGGGACCTTGTAATTTATTGTTGAAATTCATCATTATTTTCCGACGGTTTGAGAACAGCACAGCTCGACATGTCGTAGTTAAATCAGACTCACAGAGCATGCTTCGGAAAATTGAAACTGGTGTAGTGCGATCAGAATGGCTTGCATCACTTGATAAGACCCAGCTCAAGTGCATATCGTGGATTTTATGTCCAGAATATTCAGGTGTGCGAGGTAACTATCAGGCTAATAGATCTGCTGCTGTCGTTCCTCGGGGCGGTTAGCTATTATATGATAGAGAGGATGTGGTGACGGCTCTATAGGATCAAATGGCAAGTGCAAAAGAACAGACAGGGAATCCATACACTGAACGACTAATTCAACGGGGGATGAGTAGATGTTCTGGAAGAACTATTATCATGTCAACTCTTCGTAGATTCGTGAAGAAGGGGATGCCTCACGTGTACGGATGTCCCTATTGCAGTAATGTCAATTCATTCATTCATTCATTCATTCATTCATTCATTCATTCATTCATTATTTTAAATTATCTGGCTTAAATATAAACATATTTATCAAAACATTGAGTGAAATGCTTCCAGTGATAAACATCTTCTTCTTTGTCTTATCGTTCACCAGCTGTAAACTTCTGCGGAAAGTTTTGGCTGTTCGTCCACTTTTGTGTCTTGGTTTTTGTTTGCGTGCACATCCGTTTTACAAGAATGGCTTATTTGC